CCTACCAGGCAGAATAAGCCGACATCTCGAGGGAAACGTTGGTCACGCACTTTCAGCTTGTATAGTTTTCTGTGACAATGTTTTTTATGGACAATGACGTATCAGATGTACATTGTAATAAACTTCCAAAAACATACAATTTATGGTTTGTACAATGTATCGGAGAAACGATGTATCAATTGAGCACTGTATTGCATGAACATTGTAATACACATACAATGTATCACACATACAATGTTACGATGTATCACACATACAATATATCACATAAAACAATTCAAATGAACAATGTATTAATAATAATAATGATATACATAATTTGATATAGCACCATATCTAGCTAACATAAGCCACTCTAAAGTGCACTTTACAGTACATAGATATACATTAATCAATACAATTTTGAGGAATTTGCAGGAGCTGCCTTATCAGGTGTTAAGCACTAGTACTATACCACCTGGCTTATACCTCCCTATGTGTGTATGCCTGTGTAAGCAAGGACAAACTAAAATGTCGGCACTTCCTTAGACTATAGTCGGAAGAGACGGGGAAGATCTCAAAACCAGATTATTTATATTTTTTTTTTCTTTCTTAAAATCTCAATTAAAAGCTTTTTAACTTGCACTGTCAGCTTTAAGGAATTGGTTTCTATTTAGGTGAGGTTATGGGGTGATATAACTCCAGTTGAGCACATGTAAATTGAATAGATAATGAAGTGGTCAGATTAAAATTTATTATGCTTAACTGGAGTTATGAACTCATTTTTTTTTTTTTGTGAATGGTTCATAACTATTTTATAAATTAGATTAATCACAACATATTAACACATGATTGGTTCAATGAACGTAACAGCCTGAAATTAACTCAGCCTTGGATTGAGGCTGTTGCAGTGGAGTACCACTAGCCCTCTACAACAGGTACCGGACCCAATTCGGTGGTTTTTCTTCGGCAATCCAGGTTTTCCTTTACTTCCAAAAACTGGCATGTCCATGCGTAGAATAAAATACAAACAAAACATAACCAAACTAACTTAGCCTAATGGTTAACTCAGCCCACATATACTGTTGATGGCGTCATGCAATTGTGTGGCGTTCAAGGAAAATTTGCATAACTCCGCCCACATGTATTAAATTGTTATCGACGTCATGGAAACTTGTCATGGTCTATAATCAGGCTGTGAAATAATAACTTCAGTTTTCGGGAATAATGGTTACTGAATGAGAGTTGGTGTAGACTATAAATAGAGTGTATTACATGAAAAAATGGCAATAAACGTGGTCTGCAAGTAATAAAGAATGCTATGATGTGATATTTTCTGCTGATTAAGGATCCTCCTTCCACTCCCAAAAACTGTATTTATGAATGGAAAATGTTTTAACCAGCATGACAATAACTTTAATAAATCGTTCCTGCAACTCATTTACTTAAAGGAAATTTTATGAAAAATTATTAAATTGAAAATAAACAAAAAAATAATCGTGATAAACGACAGAGTTTTGAGAGAAAAATTACATCGGGACAAGACCAGAATGTGAACCCTAAACTTTCAATCTCCACCTGGCACTACCGTTATTTGGTCCTAAATTACTTAAATTTTGAAACCCTAAACTTTCAATCTCTGGCCCAACATGTACAGCACTACCATTATTTGGCCATATATGACTTATTTTTTTTTATCCCTAAATGTTCAATCTCTGGCCCAATGGCACTGCCGTTATTTTACATCATAGCATACATTCTCCGACACTTGATTAAACTGTTTTGTTGGATGAGATTTCTAATTCGATGTTGACCTATAAACAGGATTGATTAGATGTAACCATGGTAACCGTAATGGCTAATTCTCCGATCCAATAATCATCAATTTCAACTTCATCCCCCACTTACTGAAAACCCATTGACTGGCCGTTAGCTGTTATTTATTTACCTGTTGACTCGATAACGGGAAATCCTCGACCACTTAATTGTGCTATATATGATTTTATGTATGGTACAATTTAATGACATCCATTCTCGGAAGCTTTTCCGATTCATTGGGATTCCAGAATGATGTCATGATACTAGCAAATGAATAAGACCACCCATTCAGAAAAATATTGCTAGAATAATTGCCTGTCACGAACATTCTGAACAAGAACCACTGTGTACAAGGAAAGGTTTGCTGCAGATTAAATTTTCACCCTTTTCGCACTCCACAATAACAGCAAAGATTTGTACACAATTTTACCTATATAGTAATTACATGTGAAGGGCGAAATTTACACTGAGCGAATATAGGTTTTACCAAGGAAGGGCAAACATTTGATTGGGCAAAAGTTTTCCGGGTAAACAGTTACCCTGTTTAGTTAAGCTCTGGAAAAATGGACATAGAAATGTACCTTATTTAAAAGATTATTTTCTGTCATGAAGACAAAAGGATTTTTCTTTTACTTTGTTGAAATTTTCCTAAATCTGTAAGCTATGGACAAAACTGAAATGTCTTATACAGTTGATGGTTGGTTTAAAACACTTATAAAGTACTTAAAGGAGAACTGGAAAAATCAATATGGCATGGTAATTAACTCATTCACCCCTGAAGACACATTTGAACTCCTCCAATCCAAAGGTTGGAATAGTTCATTATGAACTTTCAGGGGTGAATGAGTTAAGTCTTCGTGAACACTCAGCATCATGTTCGTGAGTTGGCGTTGAGGATCATGGTAGATTTGAAATATCTTTTTATTAGCCACTAGATAATAGGTACAGCTATATATATATATAAATCGGTAAGATAATCGTTACGTAGATTATAGGCAGACACTATACCGACACTATGATACAGAAGATGGGGTATTGATCCTATTGTTAGATTGCTCAAATCTTGTGTGGGAGTTACGGAGACAGTAATGTCTGATACGTTGTACCCACACACAGCAAATCTTTTTATTGTGAATTTATTATGCATCAGTTGTATGACATTTTAGTCGTAACAATTCAGTATCGGTGAGATGACGAGCTAACAAGATAACAAGGGCTGGGCTTGTTTGTGATATTTTATAAAAATATCTCTGCCTGACAGAAAAAAACAACATATTATCATTGTCACTAATCATGATATAGGATTTAATTTAATTTTAATTGAATACATGATGGACACAGGCACTTACTTAAATGCTTATATGCCCATATATATCATAATTTTAAAAAAAAATCAAAAGAATCGAGAATTTTATGAAAAAATATATTTTTTAAATTACTCCCGTTGGTAGATTTGTAGCTAGGTGATTAAATATCAGTTCAAGGTGTTTCCAATGATTTTCCAAACTTATTTCGAAGTCGGTATTCATTTTAGCGTATATGATTCCCGTCGTTATTCTATAGACGTGATAGGGGAGACATAATAGAAGTGTTCAAAATATTGAGGGGTGTCTATGATACAACACCATCACAGGACAGGGCCTTTGGTCAATAAAACAAGATAAAAGGATTCGAGGACATTCACTCAGTCTTGATAAATCAAGCAGCAGACTGGATGAAATGAAACACTCATTCACTCAACAAATTGTTAGCAACTGGTCGTAATAATTTCCTACCGGAGCACATGATTCAAGCACCAAATCTAATAGCTTTCAAAAAAACACATCGATAAACTCTGTGAAAGTGGTGAAAGGATATTTGGATTGACGTCACATCAAAACATTGTTATTTATTACGACTAAATAAATATGGACTATGATCTGAATATAGAGGCAGATACATGTCTGCGTTCAGAATAAACTAAGTTAACCCTTTCACCCCTATGTAACTTTAGTAGACTCTACCGTGCATTGATCTGGATGAATCCATTATGGTCTACAGTGGTGAAAGGGTTTAAAGTATGTTAAATGAGTGCCTATGGAAGACTGTTCCGTGTATATACTTGTGGTCGGGGAGTTGAACCCCTGCTCAGCTGTGTTTGTAAACTATGAGTGCAATATAATCCACAGTCACACCTCCCATTGACACTAGGACAACCTGACTTATATGTCACATGCATACAAACAGAAAGTTTATGAATTATTTATCTGTGAAAAATCGACCTCATTTCAATCAGTAAATATTTTTAATGACACCAATAATTACCATATCTAGCACACAGGAACTATGTATTTCTGTATGAACAGCCTGCTGACTGGTTGATAAAGAAGTGCGAGTCCTGGAGAGTAGCTTTTACTGCCCTGCTGAAATAAAGATAAATTACTCTGAAGGTTTCAGAAGCATTAAGTGCTGTCTGCAGTCCAAATTACCAGAACTAATTTAGCAGTATGCATTTATACGTAAAAAAAGCAATTGCCGTGCAAGGGTGGGTGCGGGGAAGTGGGCCGGGACCACCTTGCTGTTGAATATTCATTGAGTTATCAATTTTCGCATAAGTTTAATTTTTGCCTTTTTTGCCGCCAGTAACGAGGGCAAATTTATCATTAAAGAACCAACATTAGTGAACAGCATAATAAGCATAGCAATCAAATGTGAAGGTTGAAATTAACACTAGGCAAAAACAGATTTTACCAGCGAAGGGCCAAAGTTTCCCAATATACAGCAGTCATATTATAACAAAACAACAGCTAAGAATGAAGTTGAATGAAATCTGCACATAGCATTTTTCTGCCTAATGTCGTTAATAGAAGAAATAAAGACTCGTGATTAGATGTCTCCCTTATTTTCTGTTTGAGTTTGCGGCAATTCTTCATTATTGCCAAAAAGAAATTTTTTGACCAGATTTGTAAACAGATTGTGCATTCAGGTATAACATATGCTAAAATCATCGGATCCAACACTGTTCTTGCCAAAACTGGTCAGTTTTTTGAAAGGACCGTATTTTACCGCTGATAAGCCCATGTCTGGTGATAAGCCCACCCCCACTTTTACTTACTGTCCATGCACAGGGTGGGTATTGTCTTACCCTATGTCTTATACATGAACACAAAATGATATGTGGATTCAATATTAAACTAAAATAAATTAAATTTGTGTATTTTTAGGTAAGCTATATGGAGATTTACTGCGAACGTGTGCGTGATTTATTAAACCCTGGCAACAAGAATGCCCTGAGGGTGAGAGAACATCCCCTCCTGGGCCCCTATGTGGAGGACCTCTCCAAACTGGCCGTCCAGTCCTTCAAGGACATCAGCAACCTCATTGATGAGGGAAACAAAGCCAGGTAAGATTGTGGGCAACACAGCATATTCTGTGGGGAAGGCTACCAGGCAAAGTAGGGGAAAATACAACAAGAAAAGTTATGTTTAATTAAGAGTCCACCTTAATGAGGACATCAGTTATCTCATTGATGAGGGAAAGAAACAAAGCCCGGTAAGATTGAGGGCAACACAGCAAATTATGTGGGGAAGGCTACCAGGCAATGTAGGGCAAAATACAACAAGCAAAGTGTTTAATTAAGAGTCCACCTTAATGAGGGCATCAGTTATCTCATTGATGAGGGAAAGAAAGCCAGGTAAGAATGAGGGCAACATGGTAAGTGTTGTGGCAAAGGTTATAAGGTGAGGTAAGGGAAAAAGCAAAAAACCAAGTTAAGAGTGCTACTTGAGGGCCCCCGTCCTTATATGACCCTGGCTGTTGTGAGGATTTTAAACCCCAAACAAACAAACAAAAGCTTGAGGGCAAAACGGCAAGGTAAGAATGAAGTCAGAAAGTCTTAACTCAGGAGGAGGCAACTGGAGAAGGTTAAGGCAATGCTTCAAGGTAAGCGTAAGGGCGACATGCCAAGATAAAGATGAGAACAACAAGGCAAAATAAAGACAAAGGCAAGGTAGGGTTATGTAGAATTCAAGTGAAGTGGCACTATATAAATGATGCCGTTTGAAGCACGGTCCAACTACAAACAGAACACATTACATCTCCAGCACAAACGCAAGCATACACACATAGGGAGATATTAGCCTGGTGGCATATAGGACTAGTAGTTAGTGCCTGATATGGCAACTTCTGCGAATTCCTCAAAAATTGTATTGATTAATGTATATGCTAATTGTATTATTGTATATCTATGTACTGTAAAGCGCTTTGGAGTGGCTTATGTTAGCTAGATAGGGCGCTTTATCAAATGTTGTGTAATATTATTATTAGTATTGTGTTACTGTTTGGTTTAAAAGAACTGTGGCTGCCACTAACATGAATGAGACGAGCAGTCGGTCCCACGCTGTGTTTACCATTATCTTCACACAGAGGAAGAAAGACGCGGCCACTAAAATGACGGGAGAAAAGGTAGCAACTCCAACACATCATAAAATCAATTATATTAAGAATTTAATAAAAGATGTTTCAATATACATATAAGATGCAAAATGAAATTTCTTTGACTCCTATGAAACTAGATCAGGAATTTTCATAAATTTGATGCGAAAAATATTATACCGCACAATTTTTATGAAACTAATTCAGGAAATGTGATAAATTTGATGCGAAAATATTATACCGCACAATTTTTATGAGATTTACAAAAGAAAATGATTACTATAAGTAACTGTGAATTTGTGAACAGATTTATCATGCTGTTAAATATGTATAATTGATTTGAACAGCCTTGAGAAACGTGAAAAGAAAGATATTTTAATGTAAGTGTTTTGCTGTGCAGGTCAGTAAGATAAGCTTGGTTGATTTGGCGGGAAGTGAACGAGCAGACTCGACCGGAGCCACTGGGACACGTTTAAAGGAGGGTGCAAACATCAACAAGTCTCTTACCACCCTCGGCAAAGTCATATCGGCCCTCGCCGATTGTGTAAGTATATATTCGCAAGAAGGTCAAATATGCAATGTTACAAAAATAGTCTTGAGTGTGATCAATCGAAAGAGATGAAAAAAATAAAAATAAAATAGATAGTAAATAAGGGGAAACGGAAAAGCAAAAGCAAAATCATAAGAAAAATGATGTTCAGCTTGACAGTATTTAAGTGATTTTGTACAGGTTTGTTTTGCCGTCAGCTTCAAATTAGATTTCAAGGTATTAATAAAGGTTTATATTCTTAACTTAAAACGGTATTTACACATGACTCAGAAAAAAATGTGTTTTTAAATGTGTCATCCTAACTTTATATTACACCGAGCAATAGCAGGTTAAGGAATTGTGATATAGATTTGTTAACAGAAACTCTTTGAAATGATTAGTTCATTTTGAAATAAAGATTAATGTCTATGTCAAAATTTTCTACTTACTCTGTGAGAATTCTTAATTTTCTCTATCGCTTCTCCCCCATATAGAGTGCTCTAGAAAGTTTTGGGAAAGTAAGTTATATCGTCCAGCGGAACAACTTCAGTGTTTTTGTTATTGTCTCCCCTGTTTTTGTGTATGTCGGCTCTGTTTTTGTGATTGTCTCCCCTGTTTTGTGCTTGTCTCCCCTATTTTTGTGCTTGCCTCCCCTGTTTTTATGTGTATCTTTCCTGGTATATATGTTTATTTCTGTGTCAATCTTTCATTTCCTCTTTTTGTATTACCCATTACACAAGCAACACTGGATGAAGTGACTTGCCATTATGAGATCGATGTTTTCATTTGTCACTTGAAGCTAGATATGTATAGTCAACCAATGAAAATCAGTGTAACATTTATATGTATCAGATCTATTTGTACTGTAAAATATGCATTATCTATGAAATAATGTTTTCCAAAATTTTACATCTTTTAACAAAGATTTTTTTGTTATTATTATAGAATTGGAATTTCTTGCTCTAAAAAGTCACCTCATATTAACACGATACTGATGCATTTGCGTTCATTTTCATTGGTTTGGACATTGGTAGTTTGTTTACTGTAAAGATATTTTTTTGAGTTTGTTTATCATAATGTTGTTTACAGCTATGATTTGAAGAGAAACTGAACCTTGTGTAAAGTTGACATCCTTACCATTTAATGTAAAATTATGATAAAAAAATATTTTAGTTTAAGTTTTAAAAATATAGATCGTGTTTTATTATGTGCTGATGATCAATTATGAGAAATTATTATCAATTTTAAGATTAATTGAAGTCCAGTTACTTTTCAATTGGTTAATAGCCCATTATTGACCCTTCATTAGGATTTACACTCAAAATGAAATTAACGGGTTTTTACAATTCTATTATTGTAAATATGAGATATTACATGATATTTTTCAGAAATGACGAAAATTACGCCAGCAAGAAAGATAATAATTCGTTAAGTTGTATGATGTCGGGTAACAGACTTCAGATTGACAGGTGTAAAATAAATTCAAGAAAAGTGCTAAGTTCAGAAGTGGTGATTCCATGATTTTGTGTTGAAAACAAAAATTGTCACTTTTTAACATGAACCTTTTAACCCTTTCACCACTGTAGACCGTAATGGACTCATCCATATCAATGCATGGTAGAGTCTACTGAAGTTACATAGGGGTGAAAGGGTTAAGGTTTGGGGAAGTTAAAGAATAGATCAATGTCAATTTTCAAAGGGTAAAAACTGCAATTCTGTCTGTCATATACCAATTTTAGGAGTCAAAAACCTTCTCCCCTTAAATTTGGAGAGTCAAAATACATGTCAAATAAACGTTACTATAAAATCCAATCTAGAGTCAAAGCTAATTTTGGGGAGTCAAAAACATACTGTTTAGAGCCTTTTGAAAGCTCTGAATAATGTAGCATTAATAAACTTCAAGGTGTGTATTATTTCTCTCTTTCAGGCAAGTAAAAAGAAGAAAAAGGAGAATTTCATTCCGTACCGAGATTCTGTTCTTACCTGGCTCCTCAGAGAAAATCTTGGTAAGTAAATATAACATGTGAAGCCGGTCCATCAAAGTTTTACTTCCCGTAATATGCGAGTACATATTTATACAGCAGGTTAGCATGGAGCGACATAGGTCAAGTATTAACCTTTGCGAGATTTAGGTTGGTAATTGAAATAAATATTTTACCACAAAAGGAAATAGATTAATGACATGAATTGGCACAAATATTCTTCCTCCTTAACCATATTTGCCAACTTTTTAAACTTTTCAGCTGGGGGTGGGGGTGGGGGGGGTGGGGGATTAAAAACAAAAATAAAAACTAAATGTATGGCTGTATACACCCAAGGGGGAAAATAACACTTTTAAATGGAATCTTTTGAGCTGTTCTTTCATATAAAACCAACAGATCTTCAAAAATAGGAATAATTTAGCTAATTCACTGGTTGAAAATGCTCAATTTTAGGGTCCGAAATTGGAAGTTTCCCTCAAAATTAGGGAGAGTTTGCAGGTATGCTTACGTGTGTGTCTATTTGTGTGACAGGTGGGAACTCTAAGACCGCCATGGTAGCTGCCCTGAGTCCTGCCGACATCAACTACGATGAAACTCTCAGTACTTTGAGGTATACTATCATTCCTTTTTAGATTTTCTCAGATGAATGACGGTAACATATAATTTGCAAATCGTGCTAATTATTTCTTTGAATTTAAATAAACAATGGTAGGTATTGTTGTTGAATAGTTATTATAAATAACAGCTGCATTTGTGTGTGAGTGTGTAAGAGGGCGGGGGGGGGGGCACAATTTTACTGAAAGAAATATACTTTTGAACATCATGAAATTCCTGAACTCATTCACCCCTACATATTTAAATTGGACTTGACCAGACCTTGATTTGGTAAGGTTCAAATGTGACTTAGAGGTGAATGGGTTAAACAAAACAACTTTGCAGTTCATTATCAAATGAATTTAAGGTTGGTTGCAGACTATTCCAGCATGTCAACTAGAAAATTCCAAGAAAGAATCTTTTACATTTCAAATTAATTTTTAAGTCTAATATTGTCAGGTTTATCACATAACCATAATTAATGTAAAGGATATACTGAAAAAGGCATTCTAGCTTGTCCTTAATTTACATAAAGGCAGATAATGCAAATTGTTAGACTAGCAGTATTGTCCTTGTAATGGATAACTTTGACATCATGTGTGTTAAATGTGTGTATTAAGAGTAGAAAAATGCACAGTCAGACCATTTTTTAAACCCGGGATCCTCCAAACTCTAGACGGATGCTCTACAAATTGAGCTACCTCACAGGTCACCGACGAGCGACTCAGTCCAGTTCTGCTACATTCCTCCGTCCTTTTTCTAAGTCTTCGCCCCCGTAGACACAACTATTAACAACCCAGGTTCGGGTAGCCCCATGTCACAGGGGGCACCAGATGTAATAGGAGTGGAGAAATGCACTGGGTTCGAACCCGGTACCGTCTGAACTCGAGATGGACGCTCTACCAATTGAGCTACCTGGTCGACGACGATCCACCCAGTCCAGTTCCACTACACTGTGTTTAGTTCAGATTGTGAATTTAATTTTACTCACCAATTTTCTAGAAAGTTACACTGACCATAACTTTTATATTTGATCCATACAGGTATGCTGACCGAGCCAAGCAAATTGTATGTAAGGCAGTGGTCAATGAAGACCCCAATGCCAGAATTATCCGGGAACTCAAAGAGGAGGTGGCCAAACTGCGCGAAATTCTTGTCCAAGAGGGGATAGAGCTTGGGGCAGGTAAGTCTGGTCTGACTTCTATATGTGCTAATGGCATATGGATCTCATACAAATTAGATAAAGAAATTGCAATAAGTTTGGACAGTCTCAACTCATTCACCCCTGAAGACATATTTGAACTCTTCCAATTCAAAGGTAGGAATAGTTCATTATGAAATTTCAGGGGTGAATTAGTTAATTGATGTTATCCTGACCTGTATGTTGTAATGTTGTCTTAATGTCCAAATTATGACAGACTATCTTCTAGTGTAAGTTGAATATTTTTTCATTTTTTTCATTTTTATTTTTTTAATTTTTTCTGTTTTCTGAATGATATCATAAAACTTTAGGTCTCCTATCCAAAAGTAATATGTACTACCCAACTTGTTTTGAAACTTTTATGAGTTGTAATTGGATCAAGGTCAATCATTTGAGAACATGTCTAGATGCTACCCAGAAAAGTGCATTGAAAACCCTAAGGTAATTTCTGATAATTACAAAATTATAGTTTTTAGCTCACCTGCCCGAAGGGCAAGTGAGCTTATGTTATGGTGCGGCATCCGTCGTCCGTCCGTCCGTCCGTCCGTCCGTCCGTCCGTCCGTCCGTCCGTCCGTC